TGTCCTAATTGATCCCTGGCAAATTAATGCCAGCTAAACAGATATTCCAAGTTTCCAAAGTCATTTCAAAAAGTCCGCTTTGGCTAAATAGACCTGAACCAAATTTAAACCCCCAAAGTACCAGGGTAGAAGGCAATGGTTGTATCCGTGACCTGATGGCCTAATTCCCACAGGTTTACTAATTCCCAAGGCACAGTTTTTTAAAAGCCCACTTTAGGGTTACAGTAATTTATCCAGCCAGGCATAAAAAAATCAAAAGAAATAAACAGGTTTCCAAGCTTTAAGCAGCAGTAGAGTACTGAAGGTCACTGTCCTGGGCTTTATGCCAAAAGACTTCAGGAAGACAAAACAAAGTCCAGACTTATCAAGTATAACTTATGAGAAAATTTCTTAAGATTTATAATGCCAAATTATAATATTCTTGAATTGTCTTCTCCAGGGGTAATCATAAGCAATTAGTTGTAAAAGTATCTCACCCGGTAGTAACACTGATGCCAGATAGCTGATTCTTGCTTCTCTTAGCCGGCTGCCGACGACTTGCAAGCAAGCCTAAGCTGCTTGTTTCTGTCCGTTGGCTGATTAGGGAGTTTCCTGGATCAAATGGGGATGACCGCCATCCCCCCATGATCAAAAGACTTCCCCCCCAGTTCACCACCTCTTCGGGGTGGTTTCGACACCCTGGGGTGTCCCAAACAGGTCAGGATTCAGCCCAGGGGACAGAGTTCTGTCCTCCTGCTGCTGTCTCGTCGCAGTGTCAAGCCAGAAATCCGAATAAGAGTTTTAAAGTATAGAGAATATATAGATAGTCAAAGAATATTTTAAGTGAATAAATATACATACAAAACCAACATGAAAACAAATGTTATTTAACAAATAAGCCTAAACATCTGTGATTTACTCCTGTGATTTGCATAACACCTATAAGAACAATAAATCTGTTGTATTGGCAGCATGTATCTAAGATATCTATTTGGTATTCAGAGAATAATACCCGGTGGCAGCGTGAAGTGAGGAAACACATCTAGAGGGTGGACTTGTGTTTAGGGGAAAATAAACAAAGGACACTGGGTGGACGCAACAAAGTGGTGACCAGCAGTGGGATGCGTTAGCAGTCCAGTAAGCCAAAGTAAAAGTGAATTTCCTGAGCTTAAGAGACCTAGTAGTCTGCTACTGTAAGTTAAGGAATGGGACCCTTGAAAGTGTCTTGGTGAAAAGCTTAAAAGGGACTCTTGATTGCACACCTTGGAAAGACTAAGGATAGGGAAAGGCTCAGAGGAAAATTCAATAGTTAAGGTTGCCTCGGGCTTTAAGTGAAAGACCAGTAGGCTAGCTTGAGATCCCACGCTCTGAGAAGGGAGCACTGAAGGGATAAGTGAAGGCCACAGTCAGAAACCTAGCTGGGGTAATTGCAAACAATAGAGGCTTAAAGCAAGGAAGTATTTCTGAACCCTTTCGGTGTCTGAAGGCAAGCAGAAACATTGTCTCAGAACAAGGGACTAGCACTAGCTGGAGGCCAGAAGAAGAAACAAACTAACAATTCGTAGAGGCTGCCAGCAAAGCACTACAAAGTAACTAAATCTAACTCTCTCTAACCCAAAAAAGGAAAAAAGCGTTTTAAATTGAGGCTTGACTTTGCTTGAATATTGATTTCAATAGAATAAACCAACTTATTCAATGAAAAAGAAATACATAAATGGGTAAAAGTATGATATGGAGGGAGCTGCTGATATGCAAGATTTACCCCAGGAAGAGGAAAGCTCTCTTCAAATGATAGAGCAAGGGGACGCTCAGAAGGAGGGTGCCTCAGGGAGAGAAAACTCCCTAGAGTTTCAAAAATGGAAATCAGAGAAAGAACAGGTATTTCAGTTAAAACAGTTAGAAATAAAAACTAGAGCTGAGGCTGAAACCAGACAGTTAGAGGCTGAAGCCAGAGGAAGGGAGATGGTCATGGAGCAAGAAAGGAGACAGATGGAAATGAGGGAAAGAGATGGAACACCAATTTAAAATGAAACTATTAGAATTAACAGCTCTAAATAATAATAATCTCAAAAAGAGACCTTAAGAAATTCCCTCAATTCAGAAAGGGTAATAATCCTGAAGCATTTTTAATTCTGTTTGAAAGAGCCTGCTGGGACGATGGGGTCGGAGAATGGAAGAAAATGGTCATCTTAAGAACCCAAATAAGTGGAGAACTTGCTGAAATATATACCCAAATGCCACAAGACCAAGCAAGAGAATATGAAGCTTTTAGAAAGCTGGTTTTTGCGAGGTTTGGGATCAATGCTGAACATCTCAGAAGAAAGTTCAGGGCATTGACAAAGAGACCCGAGGAATCATATTCCTAATTAGGAGCCAATATGGTCAGATACCTGGAAAATGGTTAGAACAAGCCAATGTTGCATCTTTAGACGACATGAAAAATATTATAGGGCTAGAACAATTTTATTCGGTATTGCCTGGAGAACTAAGATATTTAATCAGGGACAAACAACCCAAAACAGTACAACAAGCAAGCGAGACTGCAGGTTATATTTCAGAAATCAAAAATCCAAAATTTTCTGAGGTAAAATTTGGTGGTAAAAGCTGGGAGGACAGAAAGAATGAGACCAGGGATTACCCCAGAAACAAACAGGCAAATGGAAGCCATTTTAGGGACAAACCCCCAGAGCGAAATCAACAGAAGTATAAAAGCAGTGAAGGGAAGGGAGACAAGCCCCCTTTCTCTGAACAAAGCAGCCCAAAAGCATGTTATGGCTGTGGAAAACCAGGGCACTTCATTTCTCAATGTCAAACACCAAAGAGTAAAGACTTTAATCTACAGAAAGAAGGGGGAAATGTGCCAAAGAAAATTTAGTATGTACAACAACAGAAATTCTGATGCAAGACAAACTGACGGTTTAACTGACAAAAAAGAGTGTCAGGAGCAACTGCCACCTACAACAGAGATTGTTCACTGCTAATATATCAAAAGCAACATGGAATTGATGCGTTGTTCTGGAGAAAATATTTATGATTTGCTTGGGTGGTGTCTTAGAACAGACTTCCATCCTCCTAGATTAGCAGAGACAAAATGCCCCCTACTGCTTTACGCAGATGATGCAGTTCTTCTGTCCCTATCAAAAATTGGACTTAAATGGCTGATCCGCACATTTATGACTTACTGTGAGAACAACCAATTGGTTATAAATTTTGTTAAAACCAAAATTATGGTTTTCACTCATTCTGTAATACCTAGAAAATGAACAATTAACAGTTCATGCATTGAGCAAGTAAAACAGATAAAGTACCTAGGTATTACATTCCATCATAAACTTTCCTGGGCTGCCCATAGATGGACCATAATCCAAGCAGCCCAGAACATGCAGAAAACCATCCTGCGTTTTTTCTTTACTAAATGGGGACAATTTATACCAGCTGTCATTCAAATTTTTAAGCTCAAGCTTCAACTGTTATATGGCATACCAACTTGGCTCCTAGGATTTCGCACATGTATAGAAAGTGTTCTCTCAAATTTTCTAAGATCCATTCTGGGAATGCCAAGATGCGTCCCTGCAGCTGCCTTACGATTAGAGACTGGGCTAACATTACTAAACAATAAATCTGTTGTATTGGCAGCATGTGTCTAAGATATCTATTTGGTATTGAGAGAATAATACCTGGTGGCAGCGTGAAGTGAGAAAACGCATTCAGAGAGTGGACTTGTGTTTAGGGGAAAATAAACAAAGGACACTGGGTGGACGCAACAAGTAAGTGCAGAACTGGGCTAAAGATAATTAACTATGGTGGGTGTGGTCATTAGTAAACATTAAACATTGTTTATTTAATTTCTGATGCAACACTAGATCACTAGATCATTGCTGCATTCAACACACTACAATCCAGCACTGTAAGTCTTCTGTCTGCATATCCTTTGTTGTTTCCACAACCAGATCTGAGGAGCATAAGGGTCTTCCTCACATGTGGGTTTTACATGCAAGGAAGAACCCAGATTTTCCAGAGTTCTTGCTCCCATGTACAGCCTACATGCATGCAGGAAATCTTTCCATTTCAGACTCACCACTGAAACAGTGAAGAACACAGAGACAGCTAGGCAGGGCTATGTGGTCCATGCATATTCACTGTATCAAGTTGCAGAACACCTGAACAAGCGCATGGATCAGTCTAATCAAGGAAAACTGACAGAATTTTTGCATTAAAGACAGGAAGAGAAAAAAGAATGTACTATTCTGCAGATGGCTCTTACGTATGTGTGCACATGATGAGCTAGCATATATTCAATTTTAAAATATCTAGTAGACCCAGGAACATGCACAAACATTTTCATTTGTGTCAGAAGACTAAGAATCTGAGTTTTCAAAGAAACTGCAACACTATCCAAGTCAGACTGAAGCCCTCTTCCTGATTTGCCATTCAACTAAGAGTACCTCTTCTTGTCTAGATCAAGCTTCACTTTGTTTGCCTTTGTCCTGATGGACAACAATGACATCACACTCATTTATAGCTTCAACCACTTTCTCTGATTCAGAAGAGATTATGTAGGTATCATCAGTGAGTTATGCTGCCTTCATAATGGCGGCCTTTGAAACACGAGATAATTTGGGGAAAAATATTTAATAGACATTTTATTCTGTTCACTGTATTGTACACTCTTGTTCTGTTATTGTACACTCTTGTTGAATCCAATCAAGTGAACTCAATAAATTATTTTTAATAAATTAATATTAAATTAATAGGCTACAAATACAGTATTGTCATGAAAATGGGAATATGCACTTTTTACTCAAATAATGTTTTCTCAAAGCAACGTTCTATTTGTGACTCATGATTTTGTATACATTTTAGTAGTTATATCAGACAATTTTAAAATACTGCACTTACATAATCACCTTCCTGTGGGATAAGGATGTTCATTTCCGAAGACTTAGCACTCACAATCTCACAGTCTAATGATTCTTCACTAAGGTATATATGGCAGCCTTCCGTCTTGTTAATTGAAATGGTTGGCACTTTCCCCAGTACCTAGAATAATAACATGATTTTAAAACTAATATATAAATGTCTGTATCCTAGTAGCAAACACATGTACAAAGAAAACAGTTGGAATTAGAAGCTCTAAATATCAATCAGTTGCTGTTGTATTGATTTTTATCAGAAGAATTGCTAAAACTGAGTGTAAAAGTTAAAAATCAAATAACCTAACTTTAGCATATATTCAGACAAAGACTAATAGATCTACAATGGGAAATACCAGTGGAAAAATGATGACATACAAAATGAATATGCAATATAGCACAGCAAAGATCAACCCAGTTACAGAAGACAAAACTCAAAGCTAAGAGGTAATACATGAAAAGATATTATTCATTTTGTCCCAAAAGCCTTCCTTGGTAATCTGAAAAACAGTCTGATCCTTTGGAAAAGTAGCTTCTAAAACGTGATTGCAATGTAGAATACCACAATTAGGTACGTATGTACTGTATCTTCAAATTCAATATAATAACACTAAATCAGATAATGATTGCAATGTAGAATACCACAATTAGGTATGTACTGTATCTTCAAATTCAATGTAATAACACTAAATCAGATTACTTATAGAGGAAGGCAGACTCATTGTAATCCTGGTGTGCACACTTGTTTTGTATGTGACTGTGTTTTACACTGGTGGTCTTCCATTGTATGTCTCTCTATTTGTAAACATCCACAGATTCTGCCCCTGCCCCCAAATCATGGTAGATGTTGCTCCATTACAACCTGTTAAAGCCAGTCACCTTCCAATGATAATTTAAGTAAATCCTTTTCTACAGCCACCAGCATGTCACAAACAACTGCCTTTCAAACAAAAAGCATGTCCCATTCATGGGAATGTCTAATTCACCAGGTATTACTTTCATGTAACCATCATTTATGTCAGTAGAATAGAGATGGAACACAAGTTGTGGTGCTTAGCCATGTGGCAAAGACCTTCCAGTCTGTTTCCTAATTATCAATGGTACCAGACAAACAGATAAAGAGAAGGCCCTGTCCCTGGCAGCCATTAATCCTAACTCAAAAGGAAATGCAATGCTGATGAGATTTAACCATTATTTTAGCAATCAAACAAGTTTGACTGATAGCAGATCCTCAGATTCTAAAGCAGTGTCATGAAGTAACCTCTCTCGCCTGCATCTCACAGACTCCTTTGGACATAATTAGCTGATCTCCTCAAGGGGAAGAAAAGGTGGGCAAAAGATCTTCCTAGGAAGGGCACTAGCTAACATGGACCAGTTTCCTTGAAGGTTACAGGTAAATAAAAAGCACAGCAATTTTTTTACAGTTTTAAGAAAATAGCTATGGCACAGCAGGACAAACTGGCTGGAATTTACAACACTGGAAAGGGGAGAAGGTGAGGCTTTCCCTCCACAGTTTCCCCAACTGAAATAACCTCCCTTGAGATAATATTAATTGCAGAGGAAAAGAGATACAAGTACATATTATACTTGTTTCTCCACAACCTAACATTCCTATAACTAATAAGAGGAGTCCCAGTGAATCCTTTTCAGGTAGGAAAACTGCAAGGGGATAATTCCCCAAACCCACAAATATCAATCAATCAATCAATCAATCAATCAATCAATCAATCAATCAATCAATCAATCATTTATTTATTTATTTATTTATTTATTTATTTATTTCCCACCTATCTGGTTGATATGATCACTCTAGGTGGCTTACAAAATCATAATACAGTAATACAATAATAATAATAATTAAAAACCCGAGTTATTACATTGAATAGTAAAACCTTCAATATGGGGGGGAAAATGAAAAATAAACCACAAAGAAATATAACAAATATTAACTGGAGGGGTTGGCCTGCCTGAACATCCAAGTTTTTAGTTGGCTTTTAAAGATACCCGGCGAGGGGGCAGCGCGAATCTCTGGAGGGAGATTGTTCCAGAGGCGAGGAGCCACTGCCGAGAAGGCCCAGTTTCTTGTTTTTTTCCTTCCGGGCCTCCCTCAACGTCAGGCTCCTCAGCCTCACCTCCTGGCTCGTGTGAGTGACGCGGGTAGAGCTTGGTTGGAGTAGACGTTCCGCCAAGTATCGAGGTCCTAAAACATTTAGGGCTTTATACGTAAGCAGCAGGACTTCGAAGTCGATGCGAAACCGAATGGGCAGCCAATGCAGTGCAGCCAGAGTAGGAGAAATATGTTGGTATTTTCTCACTCCACTAAGGAGTCTGGCCGCCGCATTCTGCACCACCTGGAATTTCCACATCAACCTCAAAGGCACGCCCGCGTAGAGCGCATTGCAGTGGTCTAATCTTGAGATTACAAGCGCATGTACCAAGGTAGTGAGCACCCCCACATCGAGATAGGGTCGCAGCCGGGCTATCCGCCTCAGATGGAAAAAGGCAGTACGGACCACCAATGTCACCTAAGTCTCAACCCCATGACTACAGTTAACAATAAAAAGGAAGTAAGGTCCTAAGCAAAGCTTGGTGATAACTAGTTGCAAATAACGGCTATCAGCAATGAGTTACCTTTTGGGTAACAAACAGAACTACATTCCATAAGTATTTGAATAAGTAAATGTGAAGTTACTTTTTGGGTAGTAAGTAACATTCTCTAGTCATTTTCAAAAAAATCCTTTAAAAGGTTATTTAAATGATTTTAGAGGTATTTTGACAGGAATTTTTCAACTGTTACACAATTCTTTTATTAATGCTTAAGTGGCAAAGGAAATTTTGTTGAGCATTCTTTATCTTTTAAACTCTTAATATTTGAAATTCTAGAATGATCTTTTAAATCCATTTTTAAATCTTAGGACTTGAAATCTGCAACCTAATTCTGATTTTTGCTAACACCATGCACCTTTACTGCACTCTCAGAAGTTTACATTTCGTGTGGGGGAATACTGCTTAGGTAGTATCATGAACAGGCACTTACCTGTATCTGAATATCCTTGGAATTGATCACTTCAACAATACCCACCACATTGTCAAATACAATTCCAAATTTTTTGCAGCTATCTGTGGAAAATACAACAAAACTGTACTAGAATCTCATAAGCATTGCTCATATGCTTATCTCCACAAAACATCTCCACAAATTTCAACAGGAGTAATGACTGTGTCCTAAAAGTACACTGTCAGTAAAACTATTGAAAAATGATTGATGCAACCCTATGCATATTTAATCAGAAGTAGGTTTCACTAGGTCTGTCCATGCTGTGAAATTTGGTGTAGTCCTTACTATCAGTGCAATCTGTTTTAACTCTTGATCTGTAAAGGCAAAACAAAGAGCTATTTTAGATCTCACTGAATAATACAAAATAAAAATTGCATAACCTGGCCCTGTGCCAAAAAGATATGACCCAGCTCTTTAAGGGGAAGAGTGGATTGTTTTAAACAGAAAAACTTGCTGACAAGGTCTCCCCTCTTCCCCCCGGCCAACCAGTGCTGTCAGTGAACCATATACCATAACTGTATGCCAGTATGGACAAGCTCATTTTGTTTCATGGCATCTACTCCCAGATCAGTATGTTTATGGATGAAAATGGACAATGCAATAAAATAGGTCACATTTACTTGGAACTGAATCTCTTTATGTTGAGTGTGGCCTGCTCCAGATCACTGTGCATAGGATTGCATTGTTCCTCCATGTAATAAGAGGAGTAAGTGCACTTACCAACTGTAATGGAATTGATTTTTCCTTTTATCTGTAGTGTTGATTTGCTGCATTTGAAAATGTACGCTACTTGCTTGAGTTCAGTGTCAGTAATTAAAAGATCATTCTTGTCCTCTTGGTATTCCTAAATTAAATAAATAATAAATAATTTTGTCAGCTCTGAAGAAAGAGTAGTATTTGTACTTTTTGCTGAATCAGTATCTAAAGCAGGGGTCCCCAACATTTTTCACCCCATGGACTGGCTCGGGAAGGCAGGGCACCCCCATGCACCTGTGCGCATGCACGAAGAAGCGCATGCTGTCTCGCACAAATGTGTGCACGCTCATGCACATGTGTAAACGGTGGCACGGCACTTGTGCGGGCACGTACATGCTCATGCACAAATGGCAGCACAGCGCTTGTGCGGGCAGGCTCGTGCGCATGCACAAACAGCAGTGTGGCACTTGTCTGGACGCACTTGCACTCATGCGCATATGCAAATGGCAGCATGGCACTCGCACGGGCACGCATGCATGATGGCAGCATGGCACTCGCATGGGCACGCATGCATGAATCAGCTATGTGTGGGTGAGTGCATGTGGGGGTGGGGCAGGAGGTCTGTTTCTATCGCCCAGTCCAGCTCAGGCCACAGACCGGCACCAGGTCGCGGACCGGGGGCTGGGGACCTCTGATCTAGAAAGAGTTTACCTGCAGTTAACATACATAGCATCGGCATGTGGAAATTTCTCTTGTTTGGGCTACTTTGTCCAAAATTCCACAGCCAGAGTGGCCATTAATCATGCGTGTTGGGGAATTCTGGGAGATGTAATTACAAATTAAGTTGCGCCCTGTTTTGCACAGTGTAAAAGCAAGAAATTTAAGGAACTTAGGGTGCAACTGTACTGGCTCTTTTGGTGCAGACTGGTGCAGTCTAAATAGGGTTGCTTGAGATTGAGAGAGGAGCAATATGTCATTTGGTGTGGCCCTCATGTTCAAATGGCAGATCTTCCCCAGCCTGGCAGCTGCAAGGTTGTCCAACTTGCTTCGCAGTTGTCAAAAGTGATTCTTGCCCCAATCTCTCCTTACTTTCTCCTGAGCGCTTCAGGCTAAGGACCTGGGCCAGCAGACAAGGACTTATTCTATGCAGGACACAGGAGTAAACATGTTGTGGATCCGGCTCTTGTATGTTTCCACTGCTAAGCAACCATCAGATGGGGGTGGGATTTTACTTGGCAACATTTGCCCTGGAGATCAAACAAGTTTTACTTCCTTTAAACAGGTCCACCAGGCTCCTGTTCTCTGAAGCAAAGGATGTTCCCTCTTGGAAATGCAAAGGGCCATCCCTTTGGTCTGAGGAAAGGAGTATTTGATGCAGAAAGTAACTCTCCTCCCCACAACTGCCTTTTGCAAATGGTGAATTTAGGAGTGGATTCTTTTGTAGCTGAAGAAGTGAAGAGCTGGACTGCACTTTGTGCTGGGCTGCAGCTCAACTGACACATGTTTACTCAGGTGTAAGTCTTACTCAAGTGAAGAGCTGGACTGCACTTTGTGCTGAGCTGCAGCTCAACTGACACGTTTACTCAGGTGTAAGTCTTACGTGTGTGGTCTTAGTCCTACATACTTGTGAACTGGATGATGGCTGGAGTTAATTTAGCCATCTCAGGGCAAGGCTCAATTTTTAGTCCATTTCCAGCAATCGCACATGCTAGGAACAGACTAAACTACAGAGCACCAACCCTCATGGAAAAAGTTGAGGCCCCTAACATCGGCTCAAAAAGGTGCAGGTTGCAGTCCCCTGTGGACAAATCGGGCAAACTGATCTGCTCATCATGTGCTCACTAGAAAAAAGGAAAAAATCCACCCCTGCAACACACCAAATAGTAAAACAAATGCTTGTCAAAATGAGCCCTTATCGATTTTTAAAATCCCATAACTTCCTCTTCCAGCAGTAAAAACATAATAATCACTAATAAAATAACCAATACTTTGTTGCCCTTTTATAACCTCTAAAATATGCTGTATGAGATGACTGCCTTACTCTGCCTAATGACAGGGCCAGCGCTGTTGAGAATGACCAGTGCATAATTACAGCAGTATACTGTTTTAGTAATTTATGTGTATGCTTTGGTTATGTAAAGTTTCCTTAAGATTTCGAGGTTGAATTATTTGAAATTTTTAAAAAGTTAAAATCTTTTTAAAGTTACTAAATATTTTTAGGATGAAATTTAAATCAACAAAAATTAAGAAACTATACTGTAGATCATGCAGGAACTAATATGGCTTTTATCCAGAACAGTGGTTCTTAACTTTAGGTTACTCAGGTGTTTTTGGACTGCAACTCCCAGAAGCCTTCACCACCAACTGTGCTGGCTGGGATTTCTGGGAGTTGCAGTTTAAAAACACCTGAGTAACCCAAGGTTAAGAACCACTGATCCAGAACATAAATGCATGTACTAATAGTATAAATGTTTAGTCAACTCAAAGTGCAATTTTACTAAAACTTAAATTAAGCTGTAGCCTTATGTGGTGCAAAATGGATGTTACACCAGTTCTTCTCACAATATTAACAAATAAGCAATTTTAAACATACTGTACTTACATTTACATTTCCACTTCAGTATGTGTGGTAATACTGTTACAAAACCAACATCTAATGGCACAGACTCAAGAGAAGCGGAATAAAATATTGCTTAAATTCACAAGAATGGAGGATTCCTCTTCCTCTTAAATTGAAACTTCAGTGTGCTGTTTTGTGAAAGATACAACACCTCGTGTATATAAAGTCTATTTACCCTAGAGCAGAGGTCGCAGACCTTTGGCCCTCCAGATGTTTTATACAACAATTCCCACAGTTGTAGGCTGGGGATTCTGGGAGGTAAAGTCAAAATATCTGGAGTCCAAAGGTTTGCCACTCTGCCCTAGAGAAATTTCACCAATGTGCTATCCTCCAGACTACTTACGTATGAGCTGAACTTACCACTTTCCATTTCTTTCCTTCAAGTTCTAACACAGGACGATGGCTCTGTGGAGGTGCCATCTTGGGAGCAGTTGGACTTGGAGTATGGTTTTTTGTAGGAGAGCGAATTGGTGCCCCTTGGGCACGAAGACTGGGGTTCTTATGGGTCTTCTGGTCATCAGAAACATGGCGAAGACCTACAGAAATCACAAGTGTACAAAAGTATCCACTTTTTTGCATCTATAAGCATCACCTTGATAGAAGAAGCTGAAATGATGCCCCAATTGGTTGTTGTGGGCTTTTCAGGCTCTTTGGCCGTGTTCTGAAGGTTGTTCTTCCTAAACGTTTCGCCAGTCTCTGTGGCCAGCATCTTGAGAGGACAGGAGTAGCACTCTGTGCTATGGTGCAGTTGTTTGGGAGTTGAGTATTTATAGCTATGGGGTCAGCTTTTGTCCTTTTCAGGAGATGGGTGATTATGGTGATGAGTGTGTTTTTGTTGTGGATGTATTGTTGTGATAAGGAGGAGAGATTATCTGTCACTGATTGATGGGTGTCGTTAGTTGGTCTCTTGTGTGTAGTGATCACCCTTCCTTGTGGCTGGGTAGAGTTCCTTGACCTTTTGCAGGCTGTATTTTTCAGTGCTGGGAGCGAAGCTTTGTTGAGTTTTAAACTTTCTTCTTTTTTGTTGAAGCTCTGCTGGTGTTTGTGGATTTCAATGCTTCCCTGTGCAGTCTAACATAATGATTGCTGGTGTTGTCCAGTATTTCAGTATTTTGAAATAGAATTTCATGTCCAGCTTATTTTAGGGCATGTTCAGCTACTGCCGATTTTCACAGTGACAGATAATCTCTCCTCATTATCACAACAATACACCAACAACAAAAACACACTCATCACCATAATCACCCATCTCCTGAAAAGGACAAAAGCTGACCCCATAGCTATAAATACTCAACTCCCAAACAACTGTATCAGAGCACAGAGTGTTACTCCTGTCCTCCAAAGATGCGGGCCACAGAGACTGGTGAAATGTTAGGAAGAACAACCTTCAGAACACGGCCAAAGACCCCGAAAACCCACAACAACCATTAGATCCCGTCCGTGAAAGCCTTCGCGAATACATTGATGCCCCAATTATTGTTAATGTATGTACCATGTTGGTAAATCAGCTGGCAGTTCTTTTTTTTAATGCAAACTTCTATTTGCAGAAAAACTGTATTTGATTCATTTCAAAGCTTTATGTTTAAATAAGACACCAGCTTAAATAATCTCTTACTGAAATGAAAGCTGTAGCCTTAAGTGAGATCTCCAAGTCAGCAGAGTGGCATTTAACATTGCAAGGCTGGTATCTGTTGTAAAATATTAATAAAGTTGCTAAACATTGTACTGTCTTGCTTTCTCCCTAACTGTGCAGGCTTCCCTTCTTTTAGATACCCTTTGATATGTAACATTATACTGTGCATGTACAAATTCCTCTGTCTCTTTGGCACTTTCTCTGTTCAACTGTGTGTCTGTCATGCTGTCTGGAAGCATCTAGTTTTTACCTTGAGAGTGGGATGACTGGTTGCTATCTATTTTTGTACAAGTTCACTGCCTGAGCAACGCATGGCCATTCTTTCAAATCAGCAAAATATTTTTACTCCTGGACCACTATTGTGGACTGGAGCCCACAAGCTGATGGAGCTACAACACATACACACATATGCACCAGGTGTGGCAAAGCAGGCCCCAGTCCCCTTCACCTGCCTTTTCCAGACCTCTCTAAAAGGACTGCATCTTGGATCGGGTCTCATTCTTCTTGCCCACTTCTCTGGACCTGGACCTTTTGGAATTCAGTAAGTCAGCTGGAACCCCAGCTGGACTGACTGTGCTCAGGGAGTTAGTGACAGAAACTCAACCTCCTAAGAATGCAAGGGAAAGGGCAGTAGGAGCTGACTCTGTGCCTTTAATAAAAGTTTGAACCAGGCTGGACTCCATGGAATTTTTGTCAGGGGACTCCTCAGCCATGCCTGTTCCCCTTGTATTTCCAGTGCTGAAGCTGGACTGGGGCAGTCTCCACAGCTTCTGTTCAGTGGTGAGGATGCCAAGGCTGGGATGATACTGGGCCAGTTTGGTGCTGCATTGCCAGAGCCCAATTCACACTCCATTAAGAAAACAATGTAAAATGATTTTCTATTTTAAGTTATCAAATTATTTTATTAAAAATATTAGCTGAAATTGTAAAAATAGTCAGGAATAATTTCTAATAATGAGAAATATTAATTGATACATAAAAGTGATGTCAGAGTTTAACTATTAAAATTTTTTTTAAATAAAATTGTTGAATATTTTAACAAAGCAGGGGAAGTAAATGAACTCTTCAGAAACTGATGGTTGTTCTGGGTTTTTCAGACTCTTTGGCCGTGTTCTGAAAGTTGTTCTTCCTAATGTTTCACCAGTCTCTGTGGCCAGTCTCTCTTCAGAAACGATTTCCAACCTCTGGAGGAACAGACTTCTGTGGGCTTTCAGATCCTGACAGGGAGCGGCTACATCTACTCTGATCCACTGAAGCTGCATCAGTAACTATCATATCCTTGCACAACAATATGGTCTTTGTGCTGTAGTGCAACTGCCTATAGAGGTGCAGAAGGAGGACCAATGAGGATGCCTCAAGTTAGTACATCCAGCATGTGTAGACTGTGCTGCCAATTCTTATGAATGTATTTAACCAAAAATATGAAATGTGATCAAAATTTTCTTTTTCCTTTGCATGCACAAAATGCCAGGGAAGTCAATAGAGAGAAATTAAGAACAAAGCTCAAAATAATGGTCTCAGAAAGACAGAATTTTAAGTCAACATTCTAATCTTCACAGGTATAAAAATTCTCTGAAAAAGATTAGTATTCCATGTCAGCATATCTGAAAACTGGGCTACCAACATTTATGAAACTGACCTCTTGTGCTGCAGTTCTGTACACAGTATGGCCCATCGCAGAAGTCACGTGGCACCTTTAAGACAAGCAGATTAATTGTGCCATAAACTTTTGTGGACACAGGGTATCTTCTCAGATACTTGGAGTCAAGTTTTCTGGCTAAGTGTCAATGAATGTTCATGCTCTAAAAATCTATTAATGTCAAAAGGTGCCACATGACTGTTCATTATTTTGCCACAACAAGACTAATAATGTAGATACTCATGGAAATTTTCAGATTAAGCATTCTTGCATAAAGGACTTATGGTAGGAGGTAATGAAAGAAAGTGTTTTGTCTTTAAAATAAAAAAGGGGAAAAATATAAGGACAGTCTCAGGAGTAATAAATGCATTGTTTCCTTCACACCTTTGGTAATCTCCTCTCCCTGGTTCAGCTGGGCAAATAATGCTGAACGACCTGCAGTTGCATCATCTTTTGCATTCTCTGCATCAAAGACAGGAGGAGGTCCTGGTGGTGGAGGAGGTGGTGGTGGTGGAGGAGGTGGTGGAGGAGGGCCTTGATTGCCAGCTAGAGTAGGCAGTCCTGATGCTGCTGAGGCAATAGGACCCTGAAGAAAAGAATAAAAGGTGACTGGACATAAAGAAACAAAGGGCAACAGAAAAAAATTGTTTCCGTAATTTGAAAAGGAATTTCTAAAAAATGCTAATGGTATTGGTATTGTACTTCGTAAAACTCAACACCCCGAAGAGATAATAATGAGAAGTCAGATGTGGAGGACCATCAAGTGAAAAACAGGAAATTGTTCTTGAAGCAAGAGCATCTCAACAAACCACAAAGCTCCCAGCTGTTGTTTCAAGAGGTCTGAACACAGCATTCTGCCTTCTCTTTCCCCTCATGAACCATGGAAACAGTCCACAGATATTTTCAGTAGCTTTCTCTGACTTGCTAAGCAACAGATAAGTCAGAGTGCCAGATTTGGAAGTCATGACAAACCATCCATGGAGGGAAGGTGCCCGATTCAATGAGCCACTCCGACCTGCAGTGAGGGCCATTAAGTGGCATGTACCACCACATTCTCCCTCCAATACATGTTTTGGATCAGAATGTTCTGTCTTCTTTGCTGCTTACAAGCATTACAGTGGTGCCCTGCTTGACAATTACCCCGTTAGATGTTGAAATCGCTTGACGATTTTTTGCGATCGCTATAGCGATCACGAAACGATGATTCCAATGGGGTTCTTTCGTTTTACGACAATCAGTTCCCTGCTTCGGGAACCGATTTTTTGCTTCACGACGATTAAAAACAGCTGATTGTCGGGTTTTCAAAATGGCTCCCCGCTGTTTTCCGGACCTATTTCCGGAAGACAGCGATGAAAAATGGCTTCCCCTATGGAGGATGTTCGCTGAACGAGCAGCTATTTCCCCCATTGGAACGCATTGACTGGTTTTCAATGCATTCCAATGGGGTTCTTACTTTCGCTTGACGATGATTTCACTTAACAGCGATTTTAACGGAATGCATTATCGTTGTCAAGCGAGGCACCACTGTACTTTTAAAAGAAACAGAACAAAGAGAAGGTAAAAGACATCTTGCATAAAACAATATAATAAAAGTACTGTATATAAAAGGAAAATAATAAACATGCCTTTCCAAGAAAACAAACTGCAGAGTTAATATTCCTAAAGGACAGAGAAATCATCCTAGATGGGGAGAATCCATAAGTATTCTCCACCATATCCAAAGCCCTACGAGCTCCCTGATACCTAGACTGAAAAACTAAAAGTCAAGGGGATAAACTGGCTTGTTGTTCAGTCTTTTGTATCCGCTGGCTTCCTCTTTGACAATTACCACATAAGGCAAACCAGCATTCAGTGAAACAAAGAAGGGGAAATACTAGTGGGAAAAGCATTAAGAAACTACTACTCCTTCATGGTTTTACAGCTGCATTTTGTAAAAAGAAAAGCACAAATACTTGAAATCAACCACCACACTCTTGCTGCTCTCTGTCTATGGAAGTGTCATTGTGAAGAGATGCCTGTGGACTCCATTTCCAGCTAGGTTCATATACCCATTTTAAATAACAATAGGAAATTCTGAAATGGTTGCTAGGTTTAGTGGATGTGTGTGTCCAGTTATTTAATTTCCCTACAATAATGTCTATTTGAGGATTGCATAAGGAGGCTGCAGTGCTGCGTGCGAATGTACAGTCCCTATGTACAAGCTCTAAAACAGAGAGATCTTACAGGTTCTCAGAAGTTCATCTTCTCTTAAACCAGCAGGTGTTTGCTACTCCAAACAATTCCTTATATTACATTCAAGCAGATGTTTTTAACAATGTATCTTTATAAACAAGTATTTTAACTAGCACAAATGGTTAAGATGTCTGTCTTGTAAGTTTATGTCAGCTGCCTTCCTTAGAAACAGCTGTTCTCTCCCATCATACTATATAGTGAGTCAAATAATGTTTGAATGTATTTGTGCCAACATATCTGTTGGTTGTTGTTCCCATTTGTAAGATACATTTATTGTGAACCATGAAATCTTCTGCAACATATTCCATAGAATATAAAGAAAAATGGGATGAAAGTTGATAAATCCATGCAGAAGGGTTGCTTTATGTTATACATTATTTTTAGCTCTTGTATATACGCTATTAGAAAGCTAAAGGTTTTTTTGAAAGAAGTGCCCAAGAAATAACAATAGTGATATACAGTGGTGCCTCATATAACGAGTGCACCGTTGAACGATGAATCCGCATTGCGATGCGGATTTCCCCATCGCTAATGCGAGGGCACGCTCGGAAGAGATGTCTGTGGACTCCATTTCCAGCTAGGTTCATATACCCATTTTAAATAACAATAGGAAATTCTGAAATGGTTGCTAGGTTTAGTGGATGTGTGTGTCCAGTTATTTAATTTCCCTACAATAATGTCTATTTGAGGATTGCATAAGGAGGCTGCAGTGCTGCGTGCGAATGTACAGTCCCTATGTACAAGCTCTAAAACAGAGAGATCTTACAGGTTCTCAGAAGTTCATCTTCTCTTAAACCAGCAGGTGTTTGCTACTCCAAACAATTCCTTATATTACATTCAAGCAGATGTTTTTAACAATGTATCTTTATAAACAAGTATTTTAACTAGCACAAATGGTTAAGATGTCTGTCTTGTAAGTTTATGTCAGCTGCCTTCCTTAGGAACAGCTGTTCTCTCCCATCATACTATATAGTGAGTCAAATAATGTTTGAATGTATTTGTGCCAACATATCTGTTGGTTGTTGTTCCCATTTGTAAGATACATTTATTGTGAACCATGAAATCTTCTGCAACATATTCCATAGAATATAAAGAAAAATGGGATGAAAGTTGATAAATCTATGCAGAAGGGTTGCTTTATGTTATACTTTGTTTTTAGCTCTTGTATATACGCTATTAGAAAGCTAAAGGTTTTTTTGAAAGAAGTGCCCATGAAATAACAATAGTAATATACTTATGACAGTATCCATGGTTTTATCCCCCAAGAAATATGCCTAGACACACAGACACATGTCAGAGTGTCCATCTCTGGCAATTAGCTCATCATCATATTTATTTTGACTGATGAGACTTGCATTCACCTCCATAATCAATTACGAAAGTAGCCATCAAGTCATGATAGTCCAGTTGACCTCATCTAGTTAATTGTGTGGATAGAGTGAGGTTTCTCCCACCATATATGCCACTGTGAGTGGAATCCAACTGAAGGTAACAATAGCACCATGCTTGCCCAGCCTCCTGTTTAATCCACTGCCAATACCCATTTTATATTTAATAAGACAGTAGGGTGACTGTGTTGCATTCCAATGTATCCTTAAAGAGTATGACAGTGACCAAAAACCCTGCAACATGTTTATTAAAATAATTCTACTATATAGTGAGTCAAATAATGTTTGAATGTATTTGTGCCAACATATCTGTTGGTTGTTGTTCCCATTTGTAAGATACATTTATTGTGAACCATGAAATCTTCTGCAACATATTCCATAGAATATAAAGAAAAATGGGATGAAAGTTGATAAATCTATGCAGAAGGGTTGCTTTATGTTATACTTTGTTTTTAGCTCTTGTATATACGCTATTAGAAAGCTAAAGGTTTTTTTGAAAGAAGTGCCCATGAAATAACAATAGTAATATACTTATGACAGTATCCATGGTTTTATCCCCCAAGAAATATGCCTAGACACACAGACACATGTCAGAGTGTCCATCTCTGGCAATTAGCTGATCATCATATTTACTTTGACTGACAAGACTTGCATTCACCTCCATAATCAATTACGAAAGTAGCCATCAAGTCATGGTAGTCCAGTTGACCTCATCTAGTTAATTGTGTGGATAGAGTGAGGTTTCTCCCACCATATATGCCACTGTGAGTGGAATCCAACTGAAGGTAACAATAGCACCATGCTTGCCCAGCCTCCTGTTTAATCCACTGCCATTTTATATTTAATAAGACAGTAGGGTGACTGTGTTGCATTCCAATGTATCCTTTTAAAAAGAGCATGACAGTGACCAAAAACCCTGCAACATGTTTATTAAAATAATTCTTATAATAATTCTGCCTTGAGGGTTTTTTTTGACATTTGAGATCCATAAAATCAAATTTTTCTATAATCTGGGGGGGAAAAGTATCTTTTTGCATGTATGCATAAACATGTGAAGACTGAATGAGGGAGACAGGTGGTGTGAACAACTAACTAAAAATCTATACATACACTGAGACAGCCAGTTATTGAGAGTCTCAAAGGAGATATTTTCGTTCTCCAGATAAAAAGATAACTGGCAGTACAAACTCTTATAATGCTAGTTATACACTTAATATGGTTATGGAGTTCTATATTGTTCTGTTTATACATATACACTTAAGCATAAGAATGAGGATTGTGGAGCTCAAAATATTATGTAGCAGCCCACGGGAACAGGTGGACTATCATGCAGATCTTTTGTTAAGGTGTTTATTCTGTAACTGAATGCTAGTGTTGTCTCTGCTAACTACACCTGTCTGCAAGCATTCCTGCCACACAATAATATGTGAGTTAGTTATAAGGTGAAACAGCTGATGACTGCTGCTTCCACATTTTTTAAAATTCCTTCTGTCTCCTGGCTGATCTGTTTATCTGGGCGCCTTCAGATATTCTAGAAGGTAAGTGGGTGGAGAGACTGCAGTGCCATTTATCACCTGTTCAGGATTTATCATGCTTTTGATATATCGGTCAGGGTCGCCCTGAACCACACTATTTAGGCTAGTGAGCCAAGTTTCTTGGCCTGCAGTTTGTGAGGTGGCTTTTGCTGTGATTAATTCAGCCACATATGGCAGTATCTATAGCAGAGAAACTAACCACCAAGAGAAAATGAGAATCTGGTAAGGGTACTTTTGGATGGAAACCTCCCAGCGGATTCTGTGAGTTGTTATTCAAAAAAGTTTCAGAGTTGTTTCTATAAGTAGTGATCACTTATTGTTAAGATGTTCATCATATTGTCAAAATGTTTTGGAAAGCAGCAATAATATCAGATCTCCTCACAGGTTCCTTAAGGACAAGTTATTATGATGTGCAAGCGGCATTAAACTAAGATCCTTGGCATTCCTAACAAGTTATAGATGGTGAAGTGGCTTCTCGAAGAATGATAAATAGGATCACTACATAGGAGACAGTTGGCTGGATCATGCAGTTATGTAGCTGAAGCACCTGGAGCCATGGGTTGGGAGCTTGCTTCCCCACTGTGTCTTGCAGGAAAACAGCCAAGTGGCCCTGGACAAGTTAAACAGCCCCAGAGCACCCCCAGAAGACAGAAATGGCAAACTACTTTTGATTACTGTATACCCTGCTGGACTTGCTATCAATCAAAATTGATTTGAGAGTACCTCATTATTATATATAAAAGACAAATAGAAAATGAGAATTCTGTATGAGGCAACAGCGAAAAATCAACACTGAGTCTGAACACTTGACACGTTTTCAGTCTACAACTTGGTTTATTTAAAGATATCTTGTAATGTGCCCATGATGTTCAGAAGTTTATAAATTTTGCCTTATCTGGGAAGACTATGGTGCACATGGGACATAGGAGCTGTCTGTGGCTGTATTCTAGCACTTTCTTTTTAAAAATTTTAAGCACATGGGACATAGGAGCTGTCTGTGGCTATATTCTAGCACTTTCTTTTTTAAAATTTTATTCATTTTCCATTGGGTAAGGGAAGATCCTTGGGAAGGGGATTTGGATTACGGTATTGGGGTAAATAAAAATACAAAATGTGATGGAGAACAGTATATATCATTATTACATTTGTCGATATGTTTCTTACTAAACTTACTTCACACTTATCTTACCAATTTTTCTAAGCCTTTAAAATCTAAAATCTTAACTTTATATTTTCTTTCTCATAATTTAAACCCTTTCATATTCTGCTGTAATTCTAGCACTTTCTTAGGGAGACCTCTTCTTCTTCCTCAGAATCTCTGAATCACATGACAGAATCCACATATGTATGACACTATGGTGCAGCTGGGAGTACCCTGGAGGAGATTTGGAAAGCTGCCAACAGTGACTAGGGTGTGTTGACTTAATTATATTTTCTTTCTCATAATTTAAACCCTTTCATATTCTGCTGTAATTCTAGCACTTTCTTAGGGAGACCTCTTCTTCTTCCTCAGAATCTCTGAATCACATGACAGAATCCACATATGTATGACACTATGGTGCAGCTGGGAGTACCCTGGAGGAGATTTGGAAAGCTGCCAACAGTGACTAGGGTGTGTTGACTTAAACGACCAGTACTTGATGATGCAATTACAGATCGTCTGCTTTTCTGAGCTCATCTATTTATTGAGTCCATGTGGACTTCCAACTACAGTGGTACCTCGACTTATGAACTTAATCAGTTTTGGAACGATGTTCATACGTCGAAAAGTTTGTAAGTTGAAGTACCATTTCCCACTGAAATGCATGGGAATGGAATTAATCCATTCCAGCATTTCAAAAGGCAAAAAGGCAGGGCCTTTTTGGATTTGGAGCTCTTTGGGAGTACCCTGGAGGAGATTTGGAAAGCTGCCAACAGTGACTAGGGTGTGTTGACTTAAACGACCAGTACTTGATGATGCAATTACAGATCGTCTGCTTTTCTGAGATCATCTATTTATTGAGTCCATGTGGACATTTCCAAAGGCAAAAAGGCAGGGCCTTTTTGGATTCGGAGCTCTTAAACGGCTTCCTCCGATGTCAGGGGGAAAGCCCTTTGAGAGCTCCGAAGGTGCTGATTGCGGCGGGGGGGGACCCCAGGGAGTAGTTGAAGTACCATTTCCCACTGAAATGCATGGGAATGGAATTAATCCATTCCAGCATTTCAAAAGGCAAAAAGGCAGGGCCTTTTTGGATTTGGAGCTCTTAAACGGCTTCCTCCGATGTCAGGGGGAAAGCCCTTTGAGAGCTCCAAAGGTGCTGATCGCGGTGGGGGGACCCCCAGGGAGGTCTCCCATTGGTCGATGCCAATTTTTGCCAGCGGAGCCGTTCGTAAATCTAAACGTTTTTATGTAGGGATGTTTGTAAGTCAAGGGTTGGCTGTACCTTGATTGGAGGTGGATCGAATGGAGGAAACTGCAACCCTGCATATTGAGCACAACATGCTTCTATTTTACAAATCCTCAAGCAATGGTTCCCAGATGTTTTGGACTAAAACTCCCAGAAGCCCACAGCTCAGAAGGCTGTGATGGCCACAATTTCTGGAAGTTGTAGTCCAAGAAAATCTAGGAATCCAAGGATAGGAACCACTGCAAAGAGCCTTTTAAAAACTTCAGCAAGTACTTTTCATCATTTATTTTGGTGCTGATGAAAAATTAATCTGTCAAACTTACTACAACATTACTAATTATCTTATTCCCTATTTGAGAATGGGTACAAACAAGGGTCACAAAGAGTCGGACGCAACTTAACAATTAAACAGCAACAACAAACAAGGGTAGTTCTGCTGGGAACTACTTTTTCTTCATAGCAGACTTTCCCATGATAGTATCCTCAGTTAGGCATTCTCAAATATCAAGGAGAAAAGTGGGTCATAAAGATTATTTCTGCATTATTGGACTTTTTCTAAACTGAAAGGGAAAAAAGAGAAAGAAAGCACTTACAGTTTTACTCCATGTGAGCCCAGTAGAATGATGTTCTTTGATATATCCTTGAAGTTCTGCCCAGATATTCAAAAAAGACTTTACCCAATCAACATGGCGCAAATCACTGTAACATAATTGGAAATACTTGTGCATGTGTGTAATGTTTCATAGTCATGATAACAATGGAACTTGCATCGCTTATACCTAACAAGTTCCACTCATTTCAGTGGATCTACTCTACCTGGGATTAACCTTGGATTCAGCCCATTATTTGAATCTTCTGAATTATATTTGAATTAATTCATAAGACATTTCAACTAGTCATTAACCATAGTATACCACTAGTTTGCAGACTGCAGCCTTCATTAGGAGATATATCTAAAATACACACATGTATGTGTTTCGGTTATTTGTTGGCAAAAACCATGCTTACTTCAACATAGCATTTATGCTTCAGGATTCTCTTTTGCCAGCAGTCCAGTCAAAGAGTATTTTGGTTCTCTCTGCACAACATCTGTTTCAGTAACGTTACCTGCACTTGAAAAAAGACCTTCCCTACTATTTCCAACTGATGAAATAAAGAAATATTCTATTAAGGGCTATATAGTCATACACTTCATAAGGTGGATGCTTTCTTCATTGAATTCTGGAAACAGCAAAACGTTTGTTGATCACAAACTCTTCTGCCCTATTGATGTGCTTGGGGACTGGAATTTCTGGGGCTTTTGAGGTTCAGAATGATACTCTGGCTATTCCATACACCTGAACATGAATGTTAATGCATAAATACTGTACATACATTTCAGAGTAGTTCAGATTGCTGGTTTAGTGGTTGAACATGCTGCAAACAAACTAACTAGAGAGGTGATTGTCAGAAGGTTTCAATTTCCCATTCCATGCTTTTCTTTCTTTTTATTTCAGAGTTACCCTGAATTTTATTCTGTCAAGCTTTATCTGCTTGCAATCATATTCTATTGACAGACATTTTCCAGTTGGCTCAAGAGGGCAACCAATAAACAGCCACTAAAAACTGAGTGAGTAAAAAATGCAGAAAGCGAGAATACTTTGAACATGTAATAAAAACAAGTATAGATTGTTACAGCTAGTCATTCATGGCAAAATAAAAGAGAAAATAAGCACAGGAACAAGAAGAATTTATTGACTGAAATTTTGCTGTGCAGTTATACAAAAGGCATAATTTTTAGAGGTGAACTGTTACAAGTTAAGAAACCTCTGTAGACTGTTACAAGCCAACTCAGTGGCTGAAATCTATTAACAAAGTTTTGCAAGATAAGCCTGATGTCATCAGCTGGATCCTTATTTTGTTAATACAAAAATCTACACCCCACCCCAAACAAGTTTCCTAGGCTCCCTTTGGTCCTGAGGAAGCCATTAGGGACAGCAGGAAATTTTAAATTGCATTTGCCGGTCCCAGCAACTGTGATTTTCATATATTTAAGACTCCACCCTATCTTGCTGTCCCCAAAGACTTCTCAAGGACCAAAGGGAACTCAAGGAATGTGGGGGGTGGAGGAAGGATAAGAAAAAATTATTAACAATATACAGCTGCAGCTGATTACCTCATCAGACTTATGTAGCATAACTTTACATTACTGGATTTCAGCCAGCAGGCAACAGATGAACACCTACAGAGATTTCTTAACTTTCGGCAATTTGTTTCTAAAAGTTACACCATTTATGTAACTGCATAAAGGGATTTCAGCTACTGGCTAAAAAAACTGCAGACTGGTTCTGATGCAGCACAACATCATTGTTTAGAGCTGCTCATCCAAAATTAAAACAGTTATGATGACATCCAACCAATAGGATGTCAGTTCTTGTTCCTTTCAATAGGTAAGGAACAAGAAGAAATCAATTACTCAGACACCATCACTGAGATCCTTGGATATCAATTACCTCATATTTTAATCTGGCACCACAGATTAAGCAGTGCTTAACTAGTTAGACTAGACCCATAAATGTAAGTGCTTCGATTTCCTACTGATTTCAATGGCAGGATTAAACAGGTTCTTATATTCTTCCCACTGAAATAGATGGGTCCCAAAATTCTTAATGCTGCAGAATAACGTCCCTTACCTTTATTCGTTCACTATTACTCCCACTATGCATACATCATTTTTTGAAATTTACTTTAATTTTCTTCACAGCAGAACAGAGTATCCCCCTCACTACTGCAATACTTCACTATGGGATTGTTCTTGTAGATTTTAAAAATTAAAAGCCAACTTCAGTGGGACTACATATTTTTTAAATTAGAAGGCTCTTTTAGAGTCTCTTATAAATTAATTTTGCAATGAAGCTATAGCTAGAGTACTATATTTATAAATAGCCACAAATGGCAATATAATACAGTAGGATCCCTGCATCCATGAGATCAGTATCTACAGTTTCACATCCACCATCTAAAAATATTTAAAATATTAAAAGAAAAATCCCAGAAATATGTATTTTCATAGTGTAGTTGCCAAAACTGTTGGCTAGTTAGTAATCTTGATGTAAATTTCAAGATATGGGAGTTAGAGCCTCCATCACAGACTAACTTGTTTGCTTGATTGTTTGCATGCTAACTAATCAGAGTGGTTTGTTTTTGCCGGGCTAGATAAACTCCGCCCTTGTTTCTTCCCTTCTCCTCCTCACACGTTTTGAGAGACTCCATTTTGTCTCAGACCCTTTTTTCACCTTGGAAGATGCTAGATCTCTAGGCTGGATCTCTGAACCCTAGAGATCCTCCCAGCCACATGGGCTGAGGAAACAAACCTTATTGTTACTATTTTCCTTTCTATCTACTTTAAGCCTAATGAGTGCCTGTTTTAGAAACGGACTTTTAAGTGAGGAAAATACACAAAAACTTTTATACTTAAAGATCGCCTCCTGAGTCTTATTTTCTAAACTGCTAGGCTTTGGTGAGGGTGAATACCCAGAACAATTGGGTAAAGAAGGGGACTTCAACAGCTACTAATTCTAATCTTAAGGAGCTGGCCTTCCGCTGTGCATTTTACTGAGACTGAAGCAACTCTCAACAAAAACTGTGGCTACAGGGGTCCGACTGTACTCAAAATACTAGACACTTTTTCTAGAGGACTTAGAGTAATAGTACAATTTTCTTCAGAACAGAGGTAGGAGATTGACCAGCAGTCCCTCTGAGTTCGGCTCCACCCCATCGGGAGTTCAGGTACAGTAAAAAGCCTCCCAATGGAGGCAGTCAGTGAACTCTTCCTTATCAGCTCTCATCATCCCTCAGTCACACATTCCACAAGAAATTAGCCTTTTTGCAAGACTAATTACTGTACACTACATGTGAATAAAGAAAGTCTGTAAATGGATCCACCCCTGCTTTAGACCTTGGAGACAAACATCTGAGAAAAATAGCAAATGACGATGGTAGCAACGTTGGAAGACAACTTACCTATGCTTGTATTCCTTTAACACCCTGTTTGTATAAAACGTGGCAGCATCATTCATCTCCTTGACATAAGGCCCTGGTTTAGGAGACTAAGGAAGAACACACGATCATCATGTACATGTCACAGGAATGAATTTTAAAAGAGAAGGAATATATATATATATTCCTTTCTATATTCCTTCTCTTTATATATACTGTATATATATAAAGAGATGGAATATATAAACATAAAGCAAAACCTTCTCTACATTTTACTTCGTAGACATAAAAGATGGGATCCCAAGTTAGAATACGTTCGGTGTTTGCAGGAGCTATTTTTCCTGTCCCTTCTCTGTACAGATCCTCCCTCCCAAAATGCTTCATCAAGAGTCAACAGATTGTACCACATGGGGTGGGTTTTTGATCATGCAGGGAGCAAAGGGAGAAGGGGAGAATACTGAACACCTGGTAGAGTCATTATCTGTGAGAGGTGCCTTGTGCACCTCAGTCCACCCTATTCCACAACAGTCCACCGTATTCCACAGTCCACCCTATTCCACAACATTTCTAGTCCTCAGTGGAGTGGTTTAGGGCAGGCTTGTCCAACCTGCGGCCCGAGGGCTGCATGTGGCCCAGGTCAGCTCATAATGCGGCCCAGTGCAATTTTTTATTTTAAAAGAAATTCTAAAGTTTCAAGTTACACTGCCGGTGCTTGTGGCCGGAATGCGGCTGGGGCACGTCACAACGGTGGGGGAGGGAGAGGGAAGGAAGGAAGGAGCGGAAGGGGAGGGGAGAGGGGAGAGGGAGGCCGTGTGACTGCACTGTGCCGTCCCCGTCAATAGGTGGACCCCCTCCCGGCCCCATAAAGCCACCAGCGTCGAAGCTGTCAGTCTCTGCTATCTGAGATTGCAGCTGCCGGTAAGCGCGCTTGGAGCGGGGCTGCGGAGGATGGCCAGGGCTGCCCCCCCATGCGGCCCAAACCAAATGTTCATCTTCTAATGTGGCCCAGGGAAAGTGAAAGGTTGGACATCCCTGGTTTAGGGGATGGGCATGCTGGGGAGATGGATGGTTAGCTTCTGCAGGTCCTATTAATGCTTAATTCTGAATCCAACACCAAAATTAAGACACAATGGACAGAGGGGAAACTATTGTCCATACAAGTCAGATGTTATGTTTAGTTTAGCACAACAAAATCAGAAACATATTTTTAAACATATGAACTCACAACTGTTATCCACCCAAGAGCAGGAACACTTTCACTGACAGCTGACAGATGATTAAACATGCTGCTTCCCCGATTTCTCTCTCTGAACATCTGAATTTCATGGATCTTGTCTGATATTGGTTTTAGAAGAATGGCCACTTCATCCTGTTGTATTAAAAATGAACCATTAGTACTGCTGGCAGAAAAGAAATATATTGCACCTGTACAGATATTGACTAAATAAAAGATATCAGACATCTGTGGGCATTTTCAGACATCAGACATGTGAACAGAGCAATGCTTTCTCTCAACTGACCAACTAGTAAACAAAATGGATATTGGGACAAGTTCCTGTCCATACAAATACACACTATTATCCATTTAGCTGACTGGAAAACTCAGTTAGGTACATGGCTGCAGAGCCAGAGGTTGTGAGTTCAGTTCCCTATTGTGCATCCCGAAGAGTGTGGTGCCTTGGGCAAGCTACACAGTCCCAGGATGCCCCCAGAAGAAGGGAAGGGTAAACCACTTCTAGGCACATTTATACCTAGAAGACCCTGAAAAGGGTCAGCATAAGTCCAAAATGACTTGATGGCACACAAATTATTATTAATTATTTTCTTGTTAGGTACACTGCTTCTAGATATAGATTTCAATTCATCTAATGAGATCCTGAATTTGTTTTTCTTTGCAAGTAACTATGCTTTTATCATAGTGTCTCAGAACCAGTTTTCACAAAATAAAGTTAGTAAATCTGTTTCAAATAACCTGGAATGAGAGAACTTATCAAAGCAAACAGAAGCCGATTTCTGCAGTAATCTGCAACTATAAAAAACCCTCTGGATACAAAAAATACATTTAAATATGTCTTTATATTTTTCATAAAATATGTACTGAAAAATGTATTTTATTTCAAAAATACATTTCTAAATGTATTATATTCCTTTTATAATACATGTGTATGCTTTGTTAGTGACAAATATTTGAGCCAGAACTATAACATTAAAATCTGGAGAAGTAGGAATAGTTACATTCCAATTTTCACATTAGTCAGGGATGTACTGATCAGGTAAATTCACATACAAATTCACAAATCAGTCAATCATCCTTATCTGTATCACAGTTTAAATTGATTCATACAGAAGCAAAACAGAGCCAAAAGGGTGCAGCATAAAGGTATTATTCTCAGCATTTACTTACTCAGGTTTTGTTAGGTAGCATAAGAACAAATTTCTATTATCAGAATGAAAACACAATCATTTAAATGCACAAAATCACATAAAGGTTTACAGAAAATTGGAATCAGTGGCAAAATGACATGTTTGTGCAATTATTCTATCAAATAATGTATCAGGTAAGAGTTTGGATTCTACTAGGAGTAGCTTACATTATATTGTTTTTAAATTGCTTTAAGAATTTGCAAATAAAAAAGTCCCACACTGAAGCATCAACCACAATTTCGTAATTTTAGTATTTAAAACAAAGCAACGGAAAGAAACTCTGGTGAGTAGATGAGTTTAAACTACAGTTTTCTAAAGGGTGATTCTGCAGTCAGTAGCCACTAGCTGGTATACATAAGCTGTAGTATCAAATGATGGTTTTGTCATGTGATCATTTCCACTCCACATATAAATATAGAACATGACCATAAAAAGTAACAGAACATTCACTCTGCTAAGTAATTTATTGTAGTCTATGTAGGATAGGCATGCCATCTGGAATTATCTTCTGTCCTCTAGCTATTTTTGCATATATAGAAAATAAAAGTCTTTGAAGTGGAATAAAACAGCAAGAGTCAAATACATATTAAAAGGGTACTTGTTTATCCATGCTAGGTATGGATATCATAGCTGAACTAAATGGATCTTAAATGAAATTTTAAAATGTGAATGAATGAGAAAGAAGGAAATACTAGGGCCTTTGCAGTACTGTTAACTATAATTTTCTCTTTTGTGTCAATTAACAGTTAGATTAAAGCAACACCCTTATTGTTTATCCCTGAGTTCACTTGCCCTTTAAAAGCAGAGAACAGATAAATCCCCCCCCCGCCCCCCACCCCAGAAATTTTCTCTTTAAAATAGACACTCCTGTGACCAACAGGACAGGAACTCTACAAATCCTCTCTGTCTCCCTGTTGCTGTTTCTGAATATCTGCAAAGCTCCTATGCCATGATCACATACTAGTTAGTTCAGCCACAGCTTTACATTACTAAAGCAAACTGTCTAGACAGTGAATGGCACAATTACTCGCTTTGCTGTAGCATTTATATGCTGTCATCTTCATTTGCTCTGTGACATTCTGGTAAATTAATGGCTGGCTTTCCTGTTTGGATTCCAGGCTGATTCTGTAGCTTTAGGTTTTAAAAGTACTGTACAATCCAAACCCAGATGACATCAGGTTAAATGACGGGGGGGGGGGAAGTTCCTTTTCTTTTCTATCCCAGACAGTTCTGCACATATTAGGTTTTCTGTATGCTAAAGGATGCTACCTGCAAGCTGGTACATTACTATATTTACTACAGTGCTTGTGCTTACACTGTTTACATAATGGAAAATGTCTTTCCAACAGATGTCGTGTGTTGTACAAAACCTCCTTCTGCAATAAACCGTCATCTGTGAAATCTCTGACTTTAACAGAATGTGCCGAATTCCAGATACAAATTAAAAGCAATTCTCTTTTATAACAAAGCCACCATGATCACCAGACACTGATTAAGCTAGTTCATGTTCAAGTAAGTTCCAGAAGGTTTGGGGTGGGGGTGTTCTTTTTCTCGCCATATAAGAATGGCCAAATGACTGATTGATGGGCTTCATAATCACCAGTGCCTGGTGCAAATCTCTTTTGCCCAAAGGGCTGCATCAGTTTTCAGCTGTAGGGCCAGGAAACACACACCAGCTGTGAAGAAGCGGAAGTTAGGAAAATGGCACCACTGGCATGGAAGACTACTAGAGCTGGTTAGTTTTCAGCCTAACAAGTGTTAGGAGAATGGTGAATGCCTCTATGGAGCAGGGTACAAGGAGGCAGCTGTACCCTTTAGCCCTCTATGGCAGTGGTCCCCAACCTTGGGCCTCCAGATGTTCTAGGACTACAACTCCCAGAAGCCTTAAGGTGAATGCCTCTATGGAGCAGGGTACAAGGCGGCAGCTGTACCCTTTAGCCCTCTATGGAACCCTAACAACTACAGGCTGGTCTCCAATATTCTTACAACTCCCAGAAGCCTTAAGCACCACTTCTGCTGGCCAGGGTTTCTGGGAGTTGAAGTCCAAGAACATCTGGAGGCCCAAGGTTGCTGACCAATGCTCTATGGAACCCTGACAACTACAGGCTGGTCTCCAATATTCCATTCATGGGCAGGGTCCTGGAATGGATGGTGGCTTCTCAGCCCCAGAGATACAGGGACAAGACAGATTATCTAGATCCAGTTCTATCAGGTTTTAGGTTTTGTTATGACAAAGAGACTGCTTTGTTGGACAATCTATGTTGGCAACTAGACTGTATGGAAATTGGATGGGTTATGTTGCATTTCACCAGTCTGTTACAGGTAGCGCTTTACCTGCATGAGAAAGACGAGTTACAGTATGTTGCTCCGTTTTGGACTGCTTCAAGGATGTACCAGGCAAAACCTAAACACTGCATTCCATTCTTAATAGCTCGTTAGCAGAAACTCTTATGAGAACTGAAGGGAGGGGTTGAGAAAAGTTACCTTTTGAGGGTAAAGTTAATAGACAAAGGACTGAAATTTGATTGAATGGCACCATATTGGGGAAACATGGATTTAAGAACTAGCAAAAAGCTAGTTAGGGGCTCATGATTTTTGTCAAGCTATCTAGCCTTTCATCTGCCTGCAGAGGATGAATTAGGCATAGAGAAGCCATAGCAGAGACTCACTCATGATTACTTAGCTGGAAAATAGTTTTAGAAGTAGTTCACTTTTATTATTTTATGGGGATTGCTTTCATGTACACTCAAATAATTATCTGAATATGAATTGCTTGATGGTTTTGCATTGTTTTGAAGTTGTACAACTGTCTTTTGGAATTCTTTTTATATATATATATATTTATATATATTTTTAATAAACTATTTAATATCTTACCAAAGTGTAATCGTTGGGGGGGAGGGGTTTGAGTGTTTAAAAAAGGTATCAGGCCAAATGGCTACATTCACTTAAGTATTTTCAGTGGACTACCTCGTCTGGTTGGTGTACTAAGTACAAAGTGCACAATCAGGAGAATTTCTGTCCTAATTCATGCACCCTCTGGGTCTTCACCCAGCCTGGGTTCAAAGGGTGGTGGAAAGTAATATCTACAGTGGTTCCTTTGCCTAGCCTAGCGGAATGCCCTTGGGAGTTCCTTCTGCTGAACTGTCCAGTGGCTTTTGATATGACAGTCAAGAGTACACTTCTGGGCCACTTGTCTAGGATGAGTTTGGGAGGCACTATGTTGCAGTACCTTCAGTCCTTCCTGGAGGAGCAACCCCGAAGGCGGTGGTGTGGGATTCCTTGGTTGTTGTCCTATGGTATGGTTCAGTTTTGTCCCTTATTCTGTTTAAAATCTACATGAAACTGCTGGGTAAGGTTGTCCAGAATTTAGGGGTTCACAGTCACCTGTATGCTAATGGCATTTAATGTCGGTTTCGTCTTGTTTGGATTTACTGCAATGTACTCTATATGGGGCCACCTCTAAAGATGGTTCAGGAACTGGTGCAAAATGCTGAACCCAGATTGCTGACTGATGGTTAATGTGATTGTATGGCTCCCCTCCTGCCCCCCATTACAACAGCTTCATTGGCTGCCAGTTCATTTCTGGGCCTTATTCAAATCCTGGTCAGATTAGATCCAGGCTATCTGAAATATCCTATCTCCCAGTACAAGCCCCCACATAATAAGAGCCCTGGTCCCATCACTCTCACAAGCACATCTGGTGAGAACCGGAGAGAGGGCTTTTTCTGTGGTGTTCTCACAGTATGGAATTCCCTTTTCTGGAAGGTGCAGCTAGCTCCTTCTTTCCTTCTGCTGGCAAGTGAAAATGTGTGTCTAACAAGGCATCTAGAGAGCCAGGGGGGAACAGAGATGGGGAGGTCTTTTAAAGTGTACAAGTTTTTAAGTGATGCTTTAAATGTATATATACTATCATTTTTCTTTAACTAATTGTTGATTTAAAAATAAATTATATTCCGCCTTTGAGTCTCACTAGGGAAGAAAGGTGGGTCAAAAATTGAATGAATGAATGAATGAATGAAATTACCTGTGTATTTTATATTCTAATCAACATCCTCATATCCAATAGCACCGTTACTCTGTGTTATTTAAGGCATAATTATTTTCACATTGCACTTCATTATGTGATACAGCCTTTTCTAGTCTTTGGCTAGTTTATATATGACCTGGTATGAGTTATGTTGAACCTTCCTACATAGCTTATAATTTAAACTATTTTGCTTTCTGTATATAATTTACCACATGCATTATAGGATAGGTATTAGTAAAAAATATGTGCCCCAGGTACAATTAAATTCCCACTTATTTTTATAAATGTATTTTCCCACTTATTGGTTTCATCAGCCATTGTTTCCTACAAAACTGAAATACAGTACCATAACTTTAATATTATTAATGTGTGCTCAGACAGTTCAGAAAACTACCTTGGGGGTACTGGGTTAAATAAGCTGATTCTTTTTTCTGGGGTTTGGCCTAGTGTGTGATGGCTACAGTTCTGACATTGTCTGTCACAGCTGGTAAGAATCCTCAACACTGTTGCCTACCTCTATCACTTTCCCCAAGTCATCTCCTAATGGAGCACGCTGGAATGAAATAGCCATACCAACACCAAGAGAGTATGGGAGCATGAAAACTAAGCTACTGGCTCTATCAGTTTTCCTTCACTTGCATACACTTCCTTCCTTTACATATACCTGTGCTCTCCCAGGTTCATAACATGATCAAATCACCCAAATGACATTTACTTAGCTGTCTATCCTAAACTCCTGGTGTGGAGTGCTGCACATCCAGAGCACACAGTAGCCATGAGTAAACAAGTTCACCAATTATGTATGTCCACTAATTAGAAAAATTGTGCACAGATGTTTTCCTTCCACTCTACAAAGTTCTGTCTCAGTTATTCCATTCGTAATCCACATAGCCTTCTTCTCCTTTCCATCTAAGAAATGCACACTTTCACATAATCAAAACTTCTAATAAGAGACTTAAAGCCTTAATCGGCACCAAACTGTGGAAGAAGACTCAGGTTCACTCAGCTTAAGGTTACCTTTATCCATCTTATTCCCCATTTGTCCCTCCCCCATTTCCATTTTTATATTAATTAGGACTCACAGCAGACTACAAACAGATTTGCCTACCCCCAGTCAACCTGGGCAGAGGTTCTGGAACTCCTTGGCATATCTGAGTGACCCAGTGTCACCAACAAACCACATGGACCACACCATTCTGCTCCAACATGGCACCATTCAAATGTTTACACACAGCTAGTAAGGTCAATAGTAAGGGATTAAGGCTACTTTGCATCTTGAATGAGAAGGATAACGCTACATATACCAATACTGAAGAATACACTCCCTTCTCTGTGCAATAGGTAATATCTGAACTCCGGAGTCTTTCTCTTTTTCTAATTCCACCCCATTTCTTGACTCTTAATTTTTATCCAATTTATCCACAGCATTTCTTACAACATAGAGCCTCGTGGCGCAGTGGTTAAAACGCTGTACTGCAGCTAAAACTGTGCTCACGACCTGGGGTTCAAATCCCAGGTAGCCGGCTCAAGGTTGACTCAGCCTTCCATCCTTCCGAGGTCGGTAAAATGAGTACCCAGCTTGCTGGGGGGGCAATGTGTAGCCTGTATAATTAAAAATTGTAAACCACCCGGAGAGTGCTTGTAGCGCTATGGGGCGGTATATAAGTCCAATAAATAAATAAATAGAATTGACATCTGAATTCACCCTCTAACTCCAGTTTGTCTCCACATGCTTCCATTAGGTACCTATCACCTTTCCTTCTCCTTGTGTGGCATGTTTTCTCTGTACTGTATGTCAAGTACACTGCTCTTTCCTCCTGATCCTTCTGCTTCCTACCTCCTCTCTGAGCTCTCTCCAAAACTGACCAGAGTTTCTTGTCCCATTAGGTGTATATTTCTGTAAAAAAATTGCATCCATCTTCTCTCACACTGCTTTGTTTTGCTGAACCCCCATAGTTATTCTTTTGTACACCATAACTGCTGGTTCAAGACCCTAGCTCAAATTCCCCCTACTGCCAGCATGTTGGTATGTAGGCAAAGATGGGTGGCAACAGTCCGGTGTTCTAGGCAGGAACACCGCTGATCTAGCTATCAGCCAAGGCTGATAAAAGGCCTCCACATGTTGTGGATACACATTATCTCACTTGAGCAATAGTCAAACTCTAACTCAATGGCTCTTCCAGTGTCCCTTCCAGTTTTAGGTAAAGGATCAGGCATGACGTGCAGGAATCTAAGAGCAAATGGGGCAGGATTCTCTGCAGCTGCTCACACCTACTCTAGTATGACAAAGAAAAAGCAAGCTCGTAGTTTATGTTTTCTTTTACCAGCTTGTTTTGTATGTATAATAAGCAAGTTCCATGGCTGCATAAAGGATAAATTTCCAGAAAAGAAGCCATGTTATTCTGTTGCAACAAAAACTTCAGTCTGCTTTATAGATATTAAATTTATTGTACCAAATGCTTTTGTTTTCCAACAAACAAGCCAGTCCATTTCATGAATTAAATGCATGTTCTCAACTATCACAATTAGCTTCAGACAATCAGCAAAGTTCAGAAAGGACAGTATTCACATTCATCCAAGACCAAGAATGCCATATCTCGAACATATTTCTTACCTCCTGAGGTTCTTGATACTGTGAGGTCAGCAGTAGAAATGCTCTTTGTGCTTGGAAAGCTGCATGGACCATTTCTCCCTATGGGAGCAAAAAGGAGGTAAACTATGCTGTGGGTTACCAAAACCAAATTATTTCACATGGAATATCATCATCTGATGGTATTAATGGCCTAATTTTCAAATCAGGATTATTTAAGCACACAATATGGCTTGCTGCAATTCAAACTGTACAGTATATTTCTTATTAGTCTCCTTGTTTTTTGTTTTTATTTTTAATTTGGATCTCAGATTTACTTTGAACAAAATAACAGTTACCATCACAACAGATGAATCTGGCACATTCCATACAGGCAGAAAGCAAAAGATAATCTCTTGCTTTAATCCATTACTCTTACATGGACACTCTTGCAGTATCATTAGGATGAGAACTTAATATCCATGCTTTATTTAAAAACATATACTTGCAGTAATATAAAACATAGTAGATGAAAAATAATTAAAATACCAATAAAAGATCCATAAAGCTAACACTAAGCTAAAAATAAATCAAGATTAATAGAGCTACAGCTTATAAATTGAAAAAGAAAATGGAGGAAAACATATTTTTAAAATTATCCATCATAAAAGGATAGGGGTTAAAGAAAACATTTGTCCTGTCTAATACAGTATACAGCGATTCATGGGGAAAACTGATTGTTTCAAAACAGACAACAAAGCAGTATATAATTTAGCTGCAGAATTAATTCTCAAGAGAATCAAGGTGCTTCCAAATGATAAAGCAAGATGAATTGTGATAATATGTTCAGGTGCATTATAGAAAGCAAAATATATATTCAGAACATGTTTACTGTCTGGTAAAAGCGAAGCTTAATATACCAGTTTCTTACTTGGGCTGTGTCTTTAAATAACTTCTTCCACTATTGTAATCCTTTGAAAGTGACCATATAGTTCTATCATAATTATATGACTTGTCCCCAAAAGCTCACATTTAAAAATATATAAGTTAAGTCTTTAAGATGCCACCATGTTTTTTCTTTTTTTTTACTTTTTATTTCTATCTTTCTTTTACCTATAAAGCTTGCACAGACTAACATGGTAGTTCCAGCTGGGACAGTATAGTAAACACAAAAGAGAAATACAATTACATATAATTCTAATTTTCTCTCTCTCCTATATACAGTCTATTAAATTACACTATTTTAGTTCAGCATTTTAATATTTATTATTTTATTTTATTTTATTTATATCCCGCCTATCTAGTCGATTAAGACCACTCTAGGCGTCCTACACACGAACACTACAACTATTGTTAACCATGGCTGCTACTATTTCAGAAAATAATAAAAGAAACTACAAGTAAACGAAACATCCAAACCAGAAGCAATTCAGTATCAAAATCAACAGAGCTCATGATTTAAATAAATTGAATATACCTCACACACACACCCAAAAATTCACATGGTTTGGCAAAGCAGACTTTGTTTAACAGCTATTTTCCTTCTTCTATTGAAACAATATACAGTATACAAATATTTATGAGAAAACTTCCAAAAACTGGTTCACCATTAAACCTCTCGCAGAACAATCCAATTGTTGGCAATAAAGAACTCCAAATTGAGAAATTCCAGAGCCCCTGAAACTCTGCTGGGCTCAAGCCTCCAGGACAGAAGCTGAATGTGAAACTTTATTCTTTTGGATTGTAATTCCCGAGATCCTGTAGCCAGCAAGACCCTTGGTGACACTGCTAAAGGATCTTTGAAACTTACCATTCCTCAAAGTAACTCTTCCAGATCTGTTGCAGAAGTGAAAGAAAGAACAGCAGCATTTTATTTCCTGCCATTTCATTTTTGGTTGCTGCTGCTGTTTTTACAACTCTTCTATAGAAACCAGGAGGCCACTGCCTTGTGCTAGTTGGAGGGCTGGCAAGGATAAGATGTTGATTTGGGAGTACGTCTAGAAACTAGGATCACTCCACAGGTGTTTCCAACCTATACCCACAGACAGTATGTCTCTTTTTGATATGTCATAGATCCTATTTCATACAGGTAAGGTTTCCACAAGGGGTACAAGGAAGCATCCAAGGCCAGAACTTCCTCTCCAGAAGTGGACCTCTCAACCCTTGGAGAAAGAGATCCAATAAATTCTAGAGCCCTGAAACAGTTTCCAGCCTGCACAGGATTGCAACCTAATTCGTTTATACCTGTACTGATAGTCCAGAGTTAAAACAATCCAATCCAATATGGGCAATTGGAGGTAAGTATGTAAGATGTTTTGGTATATGCAGTGAGTTTTCACAGGGATAGGGATTGAATAGGGATTGGAATCCGGTTCTTCTGTGTCCTAGTCTGACACGCGATTGACTGCACTGGCTCTCTATTCAATATCTGTCTACTCAAATATAAGTCCACCAAGTACAATGGGATTTATTCCCAGATAATTATTAATAGGACTGCAAATTTAAAAATTCTAAACACTTTTCTTTACATAGCATAGTGCTTTCTTGTGAGCACTCTCAGATACTACTATCCCAGCTAGTCAGGTATGAATGCGTATCCCAGGCAACAGGAGCATTCGGAAACCAAATATGACCCTCCTTGCAACTGTGTGAGTGAACAAGGCAGCAGCTGCAAATCTAACACACAGGGCACATGGCCTGTAAGACACATAGAAGAAAAGCATTCATTGTCTGACTTAACAATGTAAAACACAGATGTTGTAAGCAGTACCAATTCACTAGGGCCACCAATACTTTTGTTTTATCATGTTGTTACATGCAGTCAAGCTGCCTTTTTAATTTTTAATTTTTATTATTTTTATTTAACAACGATCATACATAAAAGCAACTCTAAAGAAAAGCAACCTATACAACTCAATGTGCTCCCCCACCCACCGGGACCAATGGAGATACTCTGTTTCCTCCCCTTAATGGTGTCCCCTTCCCCTTCCAGAAATATATGGAACTCTTGCGGAGGTACACAACCCTTCCCCTTTCTTAATACAGAATCAATAAATGCTCCTTGTATATCTCTAAATATATTCTTATTCATCATTCCTTTTCTTGATTTAATATTACATGCAAATTTATCATTAAGAACTATATTCCACACTTCTTTCTACTATTCATTTAATTGGAGATTGCACTTAACTTTCCAGTTCTTGGTTATTATTGATTTAACCACAGTTACTAGATTTGTGATCAATTCTTTAATTGTCCAATTCCACCGCTCTCTCTCCTATATCAATAAAAGTGGTATTTTAGGACATATTCTTCCATTTAACTTTAATATTTCACTTATTTCTTTAAAAAAAACCTTCAAAATTTCAATATATATTCACATTCCCATCACGTATCGAAGTAAGTTCCTATTTCGTGACCACATCTCCAACATATCTTAGAATATTTTTATCTATACAGTTCCGTTTCACTGGTGTTAACTGCAATCTCAAAACCAAATTGTAAAAATTTCTTTTATTCTTACAGACATACATTTAAAAATTTTATTCCATATATTTGTCCACTTCTCAATACTTATTTCTTTTCCCTTGAAACTTGAAACCTTTGAAACCTTTTGTTGATCCTCTACTTCTATTAATATTTTATAAATTTTACTGATCACCCCTTCCATTCTTTTACTTCCATTTTCTTTTTCCTTCTGTAGCACCATATCTTCAAATTTTGTAAGCTCCATACATTTACTATTCTTTTACACTCATTGATCTAGAACCCACTTGTTTGTCTTTCTGACAGTCCGGGATATCAGAAAAGCTCTCCTTCATCACCACATTTAGAACACGTCAGTTTTTTTCCTGACAGCCTTCTTCACTGTCCAGCTTTCACACCTATACATATTGATTGGAAATACTGTGAAACCTGGAAGCAGGAGGAAGGATTTGGGTGGTGAGATGGGTTGCGATCCCAAAGAGGCACAAATTGGTGAAGGGACCTCGCAAAATTGAGAAGTTTGACACAAATGCAGAATTGGTGGCGCAGTGGTACTATTGCACATTAAGTCAAGAAAAACTAATCAGGCCTATAGTGGCTTCTGAGCTTGGCAGGTTATATAACAAAGATGCAATCATTGAATTTTTGCTCGATAAATCTTCCGATAAAGTCCTTGTGGAGGCTGCATCCCACATCAAGAGTATTAAGAATGTCATTGAATTGAATCTCACAGACAATCGAGCTTGGACTGGTGACAAGGGGAACACAAAAGGGGACAAATATGATAACATCCAGAGTGCCCGCTTTATTTGCCCCATTTGGAAATGAACTGAAGGCATCAGTTTTCCTTTCTTCTGAACTGTGGATGTGTATTCTCTGAATGTGCTCTCAAAGAAATTAAAACCGAAGTTGTCACAAGGGACACCCAAGACGGTCATAGTGGAGAGTTCAGACTAAATGCGATCCACCTGGACCGGGTAGGTGGGGCTCATTAGCCTTGGAAGGCAGCCCATCTAGGAGAAGGAAAACTCCAATTTCAAACCTCCACTGCCTTGTGGCTATATCCACTGATGGAAAAGGCTTCAGGAGTAAACTTCGAGGCAAAATCCGGAGCTGGAGTCCTGGAGGCAGTTCGTGTTGTTCTGGCAACTCCTGCGACATTGCAGGAACCAGTTGTATTAGCTACTGCCTCTCCATTGGACTATTTCAGCCACGTGGAGACGGGGTATTTGCTGCTTGGGTAACACCCTATCCTCCGTATTATTCTACCCAGGCTTCGTGCTCTGGAGAGGACACTCATACAGAGCGCATTATCATGGTCTTTCGAGACTGAAGGATGCCTAAGAAGACGACAGTGGATAATTGTGGCCTTTGTCTCCAGTGACACATCCTTACACTTTGTGGTCTTTTCCAGTTCATTCTCTGCCCTTTTGCTGAGTCTCAGTCTTCTTCTGCTTTCAGACTGCAGTCTCTATTTGGATTTATGACTGAAACAAGGCATATAAAATCTCTAACCATTTCAATTTCCTTATTATCAACATTAAAGTTGTGCAGGACTTCTATAGTCATGATTTCTCTCTTCTTCATGTTCAACCCTGCTTTGACACTTTCTTCTTGCACTTTTGCCAAAATGTCAT